TCCTTTGTTTTATTTATTTCATATTGGGACAATACACTTTGGAATCAGATTTTTTCTTAATTACTCATGTTAGTTTGATTGTACAATTTGGTGCTTGCGACTGTTGCTTACCTTAGGTGACTTAGTAATTTTATCATAATCTCTTATCATCATGCCTTAGTTGATCTTGTTATATATGTATAAAACTGGTTTGCATTGATGAGATGGGTTTGATGAATGTCTTTAACCTTGTGATATAATTTGCAACATCGTTTAAACATGAGTTTAGGTTTGTTTCGCTAATGATCAATGTTACTTTCATGTGTGTTACTTTATGTGAAGCGATTTTGAGTGGTAGATTGTTTAAATGTGACCGGATTGGAGAATCGATAGATGCACTTAGGTTGTCATCTTGTTTTCGATTCAAAGATTCAGTGATGAGTCAAGACTAAGGAATTGAAAAATAAAGAAAAGCGCAAAAAAATAAGGAATTTCATATATATATATATATATATATATATATATATATATATATATATAGAAAGAAAAAGAAAAATAAGAGAAAAAAATAAGCATTTGAAAAAAAAGAGTAACAAAAAATGAGAGGAAAATAAAACTCACACTCTACCTATTATCTACCACAAGGGAGTTAATCTTTGATTCAATGACATCTTGTAAGTAAACAAACAGAAGTCTCGTATAGTTGATTTTTATTCATTTGATTGGTTATTGTTTATTGGGTCATTTGAACGAAACTTCCAATTTAATTTTTGATAAGTGATGAAAATGAGAATTGAAATATGCTTGAGGACAAACATTGAATAAGTGAGGGGGAATTTGATGAGTGTTGAATATTTCATGCTTTTACTGATATTTAATCTTCATTTTTATTTGAATATTATTGATTTATTTCTATTTTGACTTATTTTTTGTGTAGAAACTTTTCTCGAAGTTGTGGCAGGAGCCATGGGCATGACCAGGGGCTAGGGGTGTTAAAAAAATACTCGACTTAAACTATTCGATCCCATTGACCAACTGACCTGGTATAAAATTACCTGTATTTTAGAGGTAAATACTCGATTTTGCGGGCTAAGTACTTGACCCGATATTTTTGGCGAGTTTTTGGGTCGAGCCCGAGTCACAAAATTACTCTTAACCAGGTACCCGCCGACTTGATTTCCTTTTTTATTTTATTACTACTTTTATTTTACATTAGATTTTTCATTTCTAATTTCAAAATTATTTTACCCTAACAATCTAAATCTATATTTTTTTCAAATTATTTCTCCTTAATATTTAAATTATTTTTAAAATTATTTATTTTAATCTTAAATTATTTTAAATTTAGTTGTAATTTTATAATTTCATTTCATTTTTATATTTTAGATTATATAATTTAGATTTATATATTTTATATCTATGTTATTTATTATAAATTTTTAAGTTTAATACTTTTTGTTTTTTATATGGATTTTTAAAAAAAAGTTAATATAAGTTAAAAAAATAAAATAAATATTAATCAGGCACCCGTGATCTGAAAATATGGGTACCCAAATTTTATGGGTGCCCGACTTACGGGTACCCGCCTCTTACGGGCAAAGTCATGGGTTGAATTTTTATGGACCAAAAGTCTCGGGTACCCGACATTTCAAGTGCTGAAAAATGCGGATAACTAAATTTGAGCACCCCTACTTGGGCACAACAAATTTGGATCTTAACACAACAAAATCCAATGGTCCAGTCAACATCTTTGCATTATCTTTACCACAAATTCGAGATTTTATTGAAGATAAATGCTTGAAGATAATTTAAGGTAATCTAGAAGATAAAGCAGAATGTAAATCGAGCCGCTAATTTTAAATAAATTATCTTCATCTTTTGTGATAAACCTTGAGATTTAAATTTAGGATTTTTATTTTGAATATTTTTTATCTTTATCTTTTAGTTATTTTATCTTTTTAGAATTTTTTAGTATAAATACCGTTAGGTTCAACTTTTAAGGACAGATTAAAATTTGTATTTCTTTGGTTATTTCTATTAGTGTATTCTCTTTTTATCTTTTACTTTTCTTCTCCATTTATTTTTCATACCAAAATATAAGTGTGATCCAATTTATGCTTAGTTAAACTCTACTTAACCTAAAGCTTTACGAAGCTCGATTCTAAATTGTTAGAATTGAGTTTTACTCTTCATAATTTAGGATAGTATTATTTGATTCTCTAGAAATTAGGAGTGGCAATGAGTCATTCCTTTAAGGTTAATACACCTTCATATCAAAAAGTCGGTGTTGGTTTGAAGGTAGTTTTGGCTTACGGTTGGGGAATCAAGATCGAGTTTGATTCTCGGTGAGAAACTATAATTCGAGTCGGGCTTTTCTAGAACTTAATGCAATCTTGGTGATAACGAGGATATACGTGGTTAGTCCAATAAGAACTTAATTTTGGAGATAGACTTGAAAATATTAGTTAACTTGTAATCGACTGGCATCAAGGAGAAAAAATATATTTCGATAATCAATCGAAATTGAAGTTAAGCAAAAGAAAAATTATCAGATTTTCTTAATTCATATTAATCGATCTCTACTTCTATATACTATTTTCATTATTTATTTGAGATTAGAATATTTTTATTTCACAAATTCGATGCTCGTCAAATTGAAACGGTGAGCTAAATGAAAATATAAAGGTTTAGTCAGGGGCACACAAAATGAGTTCTTCAATTTTAATAAAAAAGATTAATCTTATAGGATAAAATGAGATCAAAATTTACTTCTTGTCATATTATAATGGTAGTATATGAAAAAGATTAGTAAACAATAGAACTCGAGAATTCAAGGGGGAAATGGGGTGGTTTCTTAGTCTGAAATGTTGGGAACCAATGGACCGATTTGCAAGGCGAATCCTTGAGCTACCGGACTTCCAAATTGTGATCCTCAAGGAAACTCATATTTACATATATAGAAATAATATATGGATTATTTTGTATCTGTAATGAACTTATCTACATTAATTAATTTAAAATTTTTGATGTCTAATAATCGTATGAATTTCAATTATATTTGAAGTTGAGTTAAATTAATTTTTAAAAAGAAAATATTTTTTATGTTTATAAAATTCAAACCTAAAATTATAGTTAAAAGACACTAAACTTTTTATTATTCAAGATAATAAATATATAATATTATTAACTTGGGTTAAAAGAAAGGGAGTTGAAACTGAAGAAGTTTGGTGGGTAATGGTAAAAGAAATGTGAATAATAAAAACAGGAGAGGGAGGACTTTATTTGGAATCCATGTCATAGGTTTTATCGGGTAGTTTTGTTGTGCCAGGATTTAATCTAAATTTAATTTATAATGAGTTTTAATTTAAAAATATTATATGTCTATTATAAAAAAAATATTTAATACATAATAATTTTAATTATAATTAAAAATGTCTCGATAATAACTTATTAAGTTACGACTAAAATAATTATGTAATTTATATAAATTGTTGTGAAAATATAATCTTTCGATTTCAGACTAAAATATTATTTAATATATTCTAAAATATTACGATCTTGGTAATTTTTTAATTATAATTAATTTATACTTCTTCTAATCTTATATTAGTAAATTAGATTTTGGACTTATCGTGAATGGAGTAAATTAATATAGTGGTCAGAGTAGTTGGCCTCAGTGTAGCTTGTGAAATTGGACATGCTTTTCAATGGTTACGTGATGTCATGGAAGAGTTTACTTTGTGGAACAGAAATTTAATCTAAAAATAAATGTTGAAATTATATTTAAAGTTAATTTTAATGTTAACTTTTTTTATTAAAAATAAGTGCTTAATGTTTTTTTCGTTACACTTTTAGATACATATCGTTAAAAGAAACCGTTAAGTGATATGCTCATATTATGTTTTTTTTATTTTTTAAAAAATAAAATATTTTTAAAAATATATGAACGTGGTGCGTTTCACTTAACGATTTTTTTAAAGGTGTGTACCTTAATGTTTAACGAAAAAAAATATTAAAAACCTATTTTTAGTAGAAAATTTTTTAAACATTAAAAATTAAGTTTGAAAATTTATTTTTTATTAAGATAATAACATTTAAGGTTTATGTTGTCCAATGAAACGGATTTGAGATGGTCAACTATTTGTTGCATGTTGCACCCTTTTTCATCCATCAAATCAAACAATATATTTTGAATCTTAATTTTTTTTTTATAAATATCTTTTTGATTGATATATAAACTGTATAAGATGCATTAGATATTAGTAAATTTTAGTTTTTATAAAATAATTTGTCATTAAATTATAAATTGATATAATTATACATTAACTTTTTCATATAATTATGTTATTAGATCTTTAATCTATAAACAGGCGAATAACATAAAACTTTGGTGTTGACATGATGTTGATGTATGCTATCACGGAAGCAAAGAAAAATTATTCTATCTTATAAGCTTCTTCAATAAAGCTAGTAGAAATCCACATTTTTGATATTTTTCATGGTCATTTTAGACAATGATGAATTCATCTTATCTTCATCTATCATTTTATTTGTTTCGATGAGTTTGTTCACAAGCTCAAACGATGAAAAACATTATTTCAAGAAGATGATCGTAACATTCAATTTTTATGGTTTAATCATTTTCTAAGACTTTATTAGATTCAAAATTAAGCAATTTGGTCCAATAATCCCATTTTGATTCGATCCCTGATAAGAGGTAAGAGAAACCCTCAAAAATCGAGTGCCATGGCATCTGAGGATGTACGTATGTAGCCCATGATATCTCGCTCTTTCACTGAAAGTCAAAGACACTATTGAGCTGGGGGTGGAAACAAGTTGGAGTTGACTTTGATGTTTCTGTAATCTCAACAAGAACTTTGATGTTTGACATTTGCACCTAAGGACTATGGATATACGAATTAGAGAAGCTCCACCCAAAGACGAAGTCCATTGAAAGGCACATTTGAATCTTAAAATTCCCAACTTGGACAATACTTGAATTTATTTCACAAAGAATGTGGTCAGCACCAATGACTCGATCTTCATTTCGGACGTATAGGAACCAACTTCATCTCCCTCATCTTATACCCATTTCTCTCCCCTATAAGCCCATTGTCAATACACCATTTGCATATGCATCAAGGTAATGCATTTAGAGATATCTTTTTGCTCTTATTACACCAATATTATGTACGTACCAGTGTATTAACATGTATGTTTTAGCAGATGGGAAAGGCAGTCCTGTGTACTACTCTCCTCCTTGCTCTTTTCACATGTTGTTGTGCTCAAGATCCTGGGATTTATAATCTTACTTATCCACCAGAAGGTTGGGTTTGTTTGCTTTTTTGTTTTTTAGGCTTTTTTTTCCCATTCTTTGTTACTCCAAGTTTTAAGGATTTGTGATGAATTGCAGTTGATGCACTGAGAGCTATTCGACGTAAACTCCACGATACGAAGAGATTTCTCAGAAACTGGGGAAGAGGTGATCCTTGTAATCGGAACTGGACCGGAGTAATCTGCACCATGCCTCTATCAGATGGTTATATGCATGTTCAAGAATTGTATGCCAACTCTCTGGTTGCCATATTTATTTTTAGTACAATGACTAGTTCGATGAAATGATTCCAAGAGCAGTGGTCTATCTGTTTCAATTCTCATTTTGGAAATGTTTTGTTGTTTCCAGGCGGATGCTAAATTTGAATCTTTCTGGACACCTTGCTCCTGAACTTGGCCAGCTAACCAATATGACTCACCTGTAAGCAGTGATGGACCGATCCTCTTAAAATTTCAAATTCTCATATATTTTAATAATCTGTTTTTCGTCTCCCTGTAAGTGGCACCTAAGCTTTTTTGGTGATCATGGTGGAGACCGGAGATTCTTGCATCACGATCTATAACTTTATTGTATTTCTACAGGAATTTCATGTGGAATAACAATATTACAGGCAATATACCAAAGGAGATAAGCAACATAAAATCATTGAAATTCCTGTAAGTAATTCATTTTCAGAAACATCTTCCACGAAAATGATTGCAGAAACCTGACAAGTGTGGTGATCATGGTGGCAGGCTTTTAAGTGGGAATCAGCTATCGGGACCGTTAGCGGACGAGCTCGGTGATCTTCCAAACTTACTGACGTTTCAGGTGGATTGGAATCAGATAACAGGGTCACTGCCCAAATCTTTTGTCAACCTTGTCAAATGCAGGCACTTGTGAGTAACTAAAATTGGATTTAAATGGTTTTCTACAAGTGAATTAGTACTCATTTTTTGCTATGCATTTTGTTAACTGCAGTCACATGAACAACAACTCCATTAGTGGGCAGATTCCATCAGAGCTCAGCAGCCTACCTGAACTCATACACTTGTGAGATCAGTGTTAATTCAATTTTCACAAAGTATGAACTGTTATGAATTATCTTAATATATCTTGCATGCATGGATGTGCAGTCTGTTGGACAATAATAACTTAACGGGGTATCTACCACCAGAGTATTCACAGATGCCAAAATTGAGAATACTGTAAGCTAACTGTTCAAGGATTCGTCGACTTATTAATTCAAAAAATTTCACGGATTTAATTCAAATCGTTCAAATACTCACTCCTAGTATTTCCTTGTATTGCAGCCAACTTGATAATAACAATTTTGGTGGAACAGAGATTCCTGCTTCCTACAGCAACATGTCCAACCTAGTGAAATTGTCAGACTCTCTCCCCTCTCTCTATTTTCTTTTAAGTTGTTCTCCAGACTGCTAAAATTGCACATACGCTTGTTTGATTCATCTTACCAGGAGTCTCAGGAACTGCAGCTTGCAAGGACCTATTCCTGATTTCAGCAACATTACATCGTTTCGCTATCTGTATGGCTTCCGAGCATTTTTAAGAGTATTCTATAGTTTATTTTAAAAAAATAACATAGATTTTGGCATAATGCCAAAATCAGAGTAAATTTAACACTTCTTTGTGTTGGTCTGTCATACTGCAGTGATCTGAGCCTCAACAGCCTTACCGGAGAGATCCCAACAAACAGGCTTTCAAATAACGCCACGACAATGTAAGGGTTGTTGATGCTACCATTAATTTAGTATATGAATATCCTAAACGTTTCATTATTGCTTTGTTATTTGAATGGGGCAGTGATCTATCCCATAATTCTCTCAATGGATCGATCCCTTCGAACTTTTCTGGCCTTCCTCGTCTTCAGAGATTGTAAGAATTTATCTTCATTTTTAACTGTCAATTTCCTTTTGAAGAAATTTTACATTTCATGGATGTTGAGTCAATTGTTTTCACTTTGTTGTTGGCGCAGGTCACTTGAAAGCAATTTCTTAACTGGAGATGTTCCCTCCGATATTTGGCAAAACGAAAACTCTACTTTCTCTACAAGACTTATTATGTAAGTAATTTGAGCAGAAAGCTATCATTTTCATTTTCAGCTTCATGTATACCTAATCTTTTCCCATGCACCGGCTTTACATGCAGAGATTTCCAGAACAACTGGCTTTCGAATATTTCGGGAAGTTTAAATCCTCCTTCCAATGTTACTCTCAGGTGAGAGTATTGTTATTAATATAACATTGTGCAGTTGCAAAATAATATGATAATCTCTGATTCATTAGTGCTGCCTTGTCCCGGATACTAAACTTAGGCTTGGAGGCAATCCTGTTTGTGCCTCGGCAAATCAACTAAACATAGTCCAATTTTGCGGAACTACAAGCGGAGATGCCGATTTTTTACCTGGAACTGAAACTGCAATCTCAAGTAACTCTAGTGACACCTGCAGACATCAATCTTGCCCTCTCAGTGAAGGTTATGAATATGTCCCAGATCTTCCTGGTTGCTTCTGTGCTGCACCCCTCGGAGTCGGGTTACGTTTACGAAGTCCTCCCTTTACGGATTTTCGTCCATATATTGGACCATACAAGCAATACGTTACATCCAGCCTCGGATTGGAACTTTATCAACTATATATTGATTTGTTTGTATGGCAGCTGGGTCCAAGGCTTCGCCTGTATTTAAATTTTTTCCCTCAGAATAGCAGCAGTGACACATATACGTTCAACAAAACTGAGATAGATCGTATCAGAAGCCTAATTGCGACATTTTCAATCCCTTCCAATGACACCTTTGGTCCATATGAGGTGATCGATTTTACACTCGGCGGACCTTATAAAGAATGTATGGCATCTATACTAGATTGTCTGTTTCCGGTAGTTCTTGACTACGTTTCTTTAGTCACGAGTTAATTTTTTGCAGATGATAACCAGCTCCTGAAATCAGGAGGAATAAGTAAAGGTGCCCTAGCTGGAATAATACTAGGGGCCATATCCTTTGTAGTTGCAGTATCTTTGGCAATTACCCTCTTCTTCTACAAAAGGGGAACCAAATCCGGGTATGATATGTCGAAAAAACAATCATGTAAGTTCGAATTCGGGGATGATATATGCATTGATTGCATGTAAAATACAATAGCAATATCAATGATCCTTGTTTGTTTTTTATTCTCCATGCATCAGCTGGAAAAGTTACCATCCCAACTGAAGGTGTTAAGGAATTCAGCTTTTTAGAACTTGAAGCAGCCACAGGTGGATTCAAGGATACCGCCCAAGTCGGTCAAGGCGGCTATGGAAAGGTATACAAAGGCATTCTGGCTAATGGAACAGTAGTTGCCATTAAGCGTGCCCAACAAGGATCTTTGCAGGGTCAGCCAGAGTTCATAACTGAAATACAGCTGATGTCACGATTACATCACCGGAACCTGGTCTCTTTGATCGGATACTGTATTGAACAAGACGAGCAGGTATATTCTATATATACATAGCTGCAATGCAATGAACTTTGTATATTTCCTCAGGAACCTTTTAATGCTCCTTGGGTTTTTTTTTTCTTCCCAGATGTTGGTGTATGAGTTCATGCCCAACGGTTCTCTCCATGATCTTCTGTCCGGTAAATTTCTCATGTTCTATGTACTTGAATGTATAACAAACACACATATATATAGTAAATGTTGTTGGAAATTTTACATTGTTCATGTGAATGAAATTGCAGATAGATACAGGCATACGTTGAGTTTCCCCATGCGATTGCGTATCGCGTTGGGTTCAGCCAAAGGGATCCTCTACCTTCATAACGAAGCGGACCCGCCAATCATTCATAGGGACATCAAGGCAAACAACATATTGATGGACTTCAAGTTTACTCCTAAAGTTTCAGATTTCGGAATCTCAAGGCTTGCACCGCTACCAGAAGCCGAAGGAGCTTCGGCTCATGTCTCCACGCTCGTAAAAGGAACACCAGTAAGACCATAAGAGTTATTTCAGAAACACTTCAGCTGTCACTTGGTGCAATGAACTTCATTTCCATTTTGTTCTGATTTTGAATATAGGGTTATCTGGATCCAGAATATTTCTTGACTCACAAGTTAACCGATAAAAGTGACGTCTATAGCCTCGGGATAGTGTTTCTGGAACTTTTGACTGGCATGCTGCCAATCTCTCATGGTCGAAACATCGTAAGGGAGGTACGAACAATGATCACAGATTTATGCTAGTTACAACTAAACATAGTGTTGTTTTATGAAAATGATAATCAAGTAATATGTACTACAGGTTTATGGAGCATGTCAATCTGGGTTGATGTTGTCCATCATTGACCAGAGCATGGGAGCATACTCATCCGAATGCATCAAGAAATTTATGGCACTCGCCCTCAAGTGTTGCCTGGATGATCCCAAGCAACGACCCACGATGTTGGAAGTTGTGAGGGAGTTGGAGAACTTATGTTTGCAGTTCCCGGAGACCGATATGATGCCAACAGGTTCGGAATCAGATGCATCGAATTCGAATATGTCCCGATCATCGCCTCTTTTCTCCGGAAGGAATTCGCAACCCACCACTGAGATCCTTGGAAGTGAACTGGTGAGCGGAGTTATCCCCACCATCAAGCCTCGCTAAGCAATCACCTCTACTTTTGTTATCGTGTGATCATGTTGAACAATTTGTTGAATACTAGGAAAGAGATTAATGGGGGGTAGTTGTATAATTAGTTTGCTGTGTTTATGGCTTTGTTTGTTTCCATTTGGACATGATGATCGGTAATGAAGGACATATTTCAGAAACCATCTCGGTTTCACATGAATGAGATTGTGAACTTTATTATCCCATCATAAAACAAATTGGTAAATTTACACTTTTTTATACCTGAAATTGATTTTTTAAAGTTTAATTTGATATTTATATTTAATTAAAAACGAGTTACTTACATTTTACGTCTTCAAACTATGACCATAATTCTAAATTCATCCTTAACCTTATAAATATTTCAATGGCATAATGTTAATAAAATCTTAGCGTGTGATTAAACAACTACTTTGGCCCTTACTCTTTTTTTTTTGAAATATTTTGACCAACACGTTTTATGTTAGGGCAAAAAGGTCACTCCATGGATAAAAATCGTTAAGCCAAGCTCTCTTATTATATGTTTGAAAAAATTTAGATTAAACTACGATTGAAGCCAATTATATATTTGGATGAATTTGGGATAAAATTAGAATATTCGAAAGTTTGAAAATTAATTTAGGATGATTATCATTGAAGATGAAATTAAAAGGAATGTCATAATTGAAGAATTAAATTAAAATTGAGAACCAATTTAAAATAAAAAAAAACCATAATATACGTTTTAATTAAATTAAAAAATTAATTTTTAGTTAAATTTAAGGAATATAATATCTAATTTTTCAGGATAAAACATACAAATAATCTCTTGACTATATGACATTGCTTTGTTGAGTTCTTCGACTATTAAAAGTTATAGAATATTTTTTCAACTATTTATATGCTTCAAACTCGTCATTTTCCAATAAAAACTTTACAGTCGTTTAAGCTGGTTAACTTGATAACTCATATATGATAAAATCATAATTTAATAATATCTATTGGCACAGTCGTTGTTTTCAAGTTCTAGCTCAACAACATAATATTTGGACCGGAGAGTCAATTCACAAAATATAGCTCAAACGATTCTAGATCACATTTCATCATATTTTAGTCAACATGTTAATGCATAGCTTAAATGATTATTAATTTTTAATAAAAAAACAAGTTTATAACATATGAATAGTCGATTAATCATCTTGTAACTCTTAATAATCGATAGACTTGACAAAACAATATTCTATAATTCAAAGATCATCTGTAATTTTTAATAATTGAATGACTTAATAAAATAATATTTTATAATCGATGGATTATTTACGTTCTCTATTCGATTTTTAATGATCGTTAATTGTCAAACAGAGAGCATAAAGATTAGAACAATTTTTAAAAAGAAATCTTAATTATAGAGCGACAATTTCGTTTTAAGAAAATCGGGAGCAGAATCAGTTTATGAAATTTAAAATTCAAAACGACCTAAAAGAAATTAAAAATTAATTTGAAACCCATAAGAACTATATTTGCGTCCGTACACCTATTTGTATCTGTAATCAGTATTTATAATATAAAGTCAACCCCCTTCCCTTCCCATTCCTTTCCCCTTATCAATTATCATCAGTAGTTGAGCGTGACACACACCCCGAGTTGAAGGTTTCCCGTTTATTTCTTTCAACAGTTAGGCTTATTGATTAATCAAAAATCGAAATCAGGGACCAGGGAAACGGTGCCCTCTTATTCCTTTCCTCTCCACCCTAATTTCCCTTTTCTCTTCTTCTTCTTTCGCTTTACAAAATCAAAGAAGAATTTCGTGATCATCGTTTGTTTGGAGCCCTGCACCTGCAGGTAAGTTCAACTTTCCTATATGGGTTTCATCCTATTTTGGTTACCCATCATCATATTTATTATAATTACCTTTCTATCTAATCAAATCTGTTTTTTTTCTTCCTTTTATTGCAAAATTCTGGGCTTTCCTCTTTTTTTCCACGATCTGTTTTAGGGGTTACATTACTATTAAGTTGAATCAATTTGTTTTTGGGGCCATTGGGAATTATGGATTTTAAGGTGCTTGTTTCTTGTGAAGGTTGATTATTTTTATCAATTAGGGTTTGCATTTTTTTAGTTGGGAATTTCTGCTATTTTGAAACGATTATCATGTTGATTGTATGTATTGTTTCTTTATGATCATCTCAAATATATTGGATTAGCAATGGAGGGTTTTTGTTTCGATTGTCAAAGCCTCGATATCCTTTCTTGGTCATGTTTTTTCATTTGATTGGAAAAAAAAAGCTTCGTTTTTTCACTAAAATTGTGTATTTTAATTGCAGCTTGTATAGCTCAGGTGCGTTTTCAAACATACTGGACAGTTATAGATTTGTTGCAATAATAAAAGGCAATGCAGTTCAGGCGCAAGGATCTGCTTCTATTTTTATTCATCGCCCTTTCGTTCCTTGAATGCATCACAGCGGATGATCTAAATGTGATTTCAAAAATAATAAGAGCTCCCCATAAAAATTTAGGGGACACTGTTATAGATGGCACCGGTACAGAGAAGATCATAGGTTCCGAGGATGCTGAAAAAGCAATGAGTGACTGGAAAGGTAGTTACACTAACGGTAGAGTTTCTGTGTCCACAGTCATGCTTTTTACATTGGCAATGGCTGCAGCAACTGGTCTAGGCGCCGTTCCATTTTTCTTTTTTGAGCTTGATCCTCAGTGGGCTGGGATATGCAATGGAATGGCTGCTGGTGTCATGTTGGCTGCTAGCTTTGATCTCATACAGGAAGGACAGGAACATGGTGCTGGAAGTTGGGTCGTGATTGGGATTTTAGCTGGTGGCATTTTTATTTTGCTTTGTAAGAAGGTGATCACAGTCTCCCATATCAGTTATTTGGTTTTATTCTCTGCCCTCGCAGAATTATCATAAAAAACAGTTGCTATTTTTACCCCACCTTCAATGCAAAGTAAATACACCATGCGCAGATTAGTCTGTTTCGAACCTTGCTAATGAAGAAAGGGTTTTCACTTTTTCAACCCTTGTCACGTATGAAGTTGATTGTTGCTTCTAGAGAGAGTTTAAGGATGTTAATATATCAGTGTTTGGATTTCAGGTGCTTGAACAGTATGGGGAAGTAAGTATGCTGGATATAAAAGGAGCAGATGCAACTAAAGTTGTCCTTGTCATTGGAATAATGACCCTCCATTCATTTGGAGAGGGCTCTGGCGTTGGAGTTTCATTTGCTGGCTCAAAAGGTTTTACTCAAGGCCTTTTGGTAACTTTAGCCATAGCTGTACATAACATACCAGAGGGATTGGCCGTGAGCATGGTTCTTGCATCAAGGGGTGTTTCTCCACAAAATGCAATGTTATGGAGTGTGATTACATCCTTACCGCAGGTATCTATTCATATGATGTTGTTTTGTCAGGCTTTGAGCATATCATTCTGTGTCAATGGATATAATTCAAACTTAGAACTTCAAATATCTGGTTGAAAAAGAAAAGTGAAAGAAACTATGGTGAAGTAGAAAACTTAAATTCGAAGACCAGGTGAAATATTTTCAATGGAAGATTCATTTGTCAACAGATGACGAGTAAAGAACAACTTTTTCTAGGTGACTCGAACCATCTTAAATGTCACTTGCATGCTTGATTGATGTTACACTAGTAAATAATTGCATCTTGGTGTCATCCATTGCAATTGGCAAAAGATAGAATGAAAAACAAATTCTAAAATTCAGATTATGAGAGGGTTAATCAAATTAAACTGATATTCTTATTTGAGTATAATTTCTCTGTTAATTTAATTTCCTCGATGATTGTTTATCCGTATATCATTCTTTTCTTAAATTTTTGGCAGCCCATTGTAGCAGTTCCTTCGTTTATATGTGCTGATGCATTTAATAAGGTACTCCCTTTTGTACTGGTTTCGCTGCTGGATGTATGATCTGGATGGTCGTTGCTGAGGTTCTCCCTGATGCATTTAAGGTGGCTGCACTTATTGCACTTAAATATATCTTTGAATCTTCAAGAATAAGTATTTGCTTCTACAACTGTCTTACATGGCCCTTTACACTATTTCGCTTTGTATCCTATCAAGAATGCTTTCATTGGAATTTTTCAAACCTAGGTTAGTTATCAATATAAAGAATTTTCCAAGCTATGTTAATGGGTGACTACTACTTTCATGCTCTTCAGCTTCTCTCTTTTGCAATGCCTAAAAGGATAAAACAACTTTACTTGAACGAAAGTCTTTTAAATGAGACGAGATTAATCTTCTTTGACAACTTTTTTTTTTTAATTTTGTTCTTGTTCTATAGACAAGAAGTCTAAACCCCCTCGCCCACCCTTTTTTCTTTTCCTCTAATAGGAAGCTTCGCCAACTCCAGTGGCATCAGCAGCTACACTTTCAGTAGCATTCATGCAAGCACTGAGCACTCTGTTCCAGAACTTCAGTCATGATTACAGGTGAGTAAATTGAACCGTAGTTTGTTGAGAATAATTTGTGGCTACATAATACATCATTGCAACTAATTTCGGTTTATTTTCTATTCTTGATGGAATTATATCCTTTGGCATATTAAAGTTGATTCAGATTCTGTTTCAACAACATTATACCTTTTTGTCTTCTAGAGCATGTATTCCATTTTGTATAACTACATGATATCGTGGTCATAGCTTTTTGTGCTTTCATGTAAGTTGATTTAGACGGATCGTCTGATGGATTGTCAGATTGCCCATTGTACAATCTGGCAGCCTCATTTTTAAAACTAAATTACATTGTTTTGAATTTTCAGTTCCGAGGATGCCTCTGGCTTCTTTGTTTCATTACTTTTTGGTCTTGGACCTTTACTGGGCGGCCTCGTTCTTGTTGCATTTGCTGTTGCTTTCTGCCTTCAACATGCTCTTCTCATGGGTGCTGCTTCTGGCATTGCCTTCATCCTTGGTGCCTGGCGACCATTGCAGCTACTTGTATTATCTAAAATGGGACTTTTCCCACTTTTATCGCTACTTGCTGTAGGCGCTGCATTTGTCCATGTTTCAAGCACCAGAATTCTGAAGATTGTATGCAACAAAAGATCTTCACATGATCTGCCTTTGGTTACAGGATTTCCAGTGAGTGTTCTCACACTTCAGTCATTTTTAGCATGCGGAACAGTGGCATTCCATGCACTGGCTGAGGGGCTTGCGCTAGGAGTTGCTGCACCAAAAGCTTATGGACTCGGCCGGCACATGGTCCTTCCTGTCTCCCTTCACGGTCTTCCTCGCGGCGCAGCAGTGGCCAGCTGCATCTTTGGAGCTACTCAAAGTTGGCATGGATCCCTGGCAGCAGCTGCTCTCATCGGGTTTGTAGGGCCAGTATCTGCAATTGGAGCAATATTGGCAGGAATTGATTACAGCGGTCTGGACTATGTGATGGTGTTGGCCTGTGGGGGATTGATCCCATGCTTTGCTAGAATACTGGAGAGGGCATATCGGTTGGATATGCAAAAAAGCAGTTGTGGACTTGCTATCGGAATCGGGTTTGCCACTCTCTGTTTAACATGCACCAAGTTAGTTTGCTTACACACCCCTTACTGTGACTCAGCTCCGGAGGCTGTCAGATAGATTGTTTAGGGAAAATATGGTTGAAGAAGAGAGACCATGGTCTATACTTGATATTGTACCATAGCTAGTTTTCATATTTCTACTCGATTTAATTATTAAAGGAATTATGGGGTTTTGCTTGATTCTACCCCTCGGTATTTATCTTCCTACCTGTAAGATTTCATCCATTCCATACTAATCAATTACAAAGGTTTCCTTTCAACACTCTTGTCCCTCAAGTTTACCTTTCAAACATATGCATTACAATATGACAATCTATTCTAATATCAGAAAAGTGAAAAAGACAAGTTTTGACCCTCTTAATTTTAAGATTGAACAAATTGATTCTTTTCTCACTCCATCCAAATAAAAATTAGTGAAGTATTAACAAACAGACAAAGACATGCTTTTCATACAATCAATCATATATTAAAATACAAAACAAAATCCAACCAGCTGGTGCTATCAGACAAATAAACATGTTGCAGACATTCCTGTCACAGTCCGAAATGCTTTTCTATTTTCTTTATTGAACCAAAATATTAATCATGAAAGCTTTAAAACCAAAGAAACAAATTCCAGGCTGCACCCCGACCAGCCAATCATTAATAACAATCATCTCTCAAGTAAATGTTTCTAACTACATTCACACAAGGACAAGACACCATCCATGTGCTGCTTTGGATACTCCGACGCAACTCGGACCTGACCCAACACTATATGCTTTATGTAAACTACAAAAGGAATACACAGACCCCTACAAAACTCAGATGAATCCCACCTTACCATCAATATTTCACATATATATATATATGTTCCAAACTCAAACCTACTAACACATGAATAAATCCAATGAATGACACCAAAACTGAGTACTGACCGAGACCCAATTCTCTATTTCTTTCTTTTTTCAATAGGCAAAACAGTTTAACCATGAAAATCCCATCACCGGCAGCAGCAACTGTTAACCTGATCTTTCCAAGTTAACACGGAACTGATATGTATCAGAAGATATAGTTGGCTTATGAAACCCTGGACCACGGTAGAAACAATTTAAAGATGATTTACAGGTTTGATTGTCAGCGTCCGGTTTTGGGACGTTTCATTCCACTTGAATTGAAAGGAGAAACACTGCCGCATGGACCAGGACTATCTTCTCTGAAATTCGAGTTTAGCATTGCAAGCTCGCGTAACTGCTGTCTCTTGATAAAATCTTGCGACTCATCCTACATTTTGACAATATGAAGTTCAGGAAAGAATACATGATAAGAATATATATCAACATCATCAGTTCAACACCATGATGACTGCAAATCGTCAACCATGAGGATTCCAAAAGTAGCTAATTTCTATGAAAAACAACAGAGTTTGAATGTGGAAGCGTATATGAGAGCAACCAAAGGCTAATGAACTTTCTAGAAGTGAAGAACAAGATTATCATACATACCACGGGTTTAAGTAACTCCTCAATAATTTCTTGTGCTTGTCTAAGCCTTGTTTCAACAATATTAGCAGGCAAATCAGCCTCGATTAAGATGTGGAGTGGATCACTCAGGTGCTCATATCCAGGTCTACCTCTCAGCTTCTCTTCCTTCATATGGGACAAGATGGGGAATTACTATCCGGAACTATTCAATTTTAATGTCAATAAAATTCTTAGGAGAAAAGAGGGTGAAGATAAAAAAAATCAATTATCTTTTGAAAATTTAATATTTTTTTACACAGGCTCCACGTAGCTATCCAGGAACTCGATCTTCCTTCCAGTTTCAGAAGGATACTATTTGACATATAGCAAAAGCTAATGGTCTTGGACCTTTACAACAACAATAGTTCATAAATTTTGTAGCTTTACCTTGTGCGAATCCTTTATCGATCCTTTGCCTCTGATGTAAACTCGGCAGCCAGTAGTAGCTTCCACCCGCTTTAATGAATTTCCTCTAGGGCCTAGAAGTCGTCCAACAAAATTGAACTAACAACGAAAAAGACTCTAAACCTCAATACTCACAAAAGCATTTTCCCATTCAATGGAAATATGAAATTTATAATCAGTAAAATTTTAGTCCAACACACTAGCATGTTATATTTACGGCTTACGTTTGGATATGTATCAACAGGAATTTCAAGACGCAAAATCCTCTTCACGGTGTATGAACTAGGACTTGCTGGGGCACCTTGCCAATCCATTGACATCCCAGGTGGTCCGCTCAGTCTCTGTCAAAATACAAAAAAGAAACGGTGGCAGAAAATATCAGGCTCAATCCAAAAATAAACAGGAAACAAGCATATTTAAACAGAGTTTAAGCTTAAAACAACCTTTTTGAGAACATGTCCCAACGCATTATTAGTAACAGATACTAAATGTTACAATATAGATAAGAATGTTAAAACAAAAAGGATGAAGGCAAAATAGCAACCAGAAATGAACTGAGATCGCCATTATATTCACCGTTTCCTTCTGCAGTTAAACCGCATTAAAGGAATAGCATTGGCAATCATAGCAATTTGGTCAGGAAAGAGACTTGGTTCTCATCTGAGTTACTTAAGATGGTCCAATGTTGAGTAACATATTGATGGTTAAACAATCATTGTGTTCGAGTCATCAACCAGATGCAAAGAGGATCAATATGGAACTCAAGATATTCACCATTTGTCAGGAATGCTTTCGTTCTGTGACGACCAGAGTGTTTTCCTTACTCTAATGAAACTAATAGAACCTAACGACCAACATCGAAATCCATAGTTTTTGAACAGTCACGTAGCAATTGGATTAAGATGAAGGGTTTAGCTAATGAAGTTAATAACTCTTCCAGGAACCAGTAATGCATATACCATGTCAAACCAAGACCAATCAATATCTAAACGTTTTGGTCTACTAATAAAGCTAGAGAACTGCAAACCTTATTGTTTGTTTTTGGTTTTTATGATGCCAAGGATAAGATTTAGCATGTTACAGTTCTCCTTTCCAATGTTTGACACTCGGTTATATTGGTGTTTACCAGAAATAATCTGAAAAAGCATGCCAAAGAACCAAACGCATAAACATGTCACTTAGTTTACTACCCAAATTGTTAACAGTCAACTTATTGGCAGGTTGCATGAAACAAATATAATGCATATAATAGAAGACCACACAATTAAACAAACAATAAAAAAAGTGAATGATAATATATATATATATATTCAAAACAAAGACCCGAATGTTTAAGGTTTAAGAACAGTAACCTCTTGTGGAAGGTTATTCCAGCCACCTAATCTTGTCCCAGAAACACTTGACATAAGGTTTGAAGAGGCCATTGGACTGGGGCTTCTATTCCTCATCCGGTCAAAGTAGCCAAATCCATGGTTGGACATCATTCCCGAGACCCGGAATATCTCTGCATATGAAGACCATATATGAAAACATATCAATACATGAAAGGAACTTAACACCCAAAACCAAATTAACCATTTGAAGGCAAGGCGATAATAAAACAAAAAAGAAACATAGAATGCCTAGAGATCCTACTGTCCAGAAAAGTGCATAAACTTCTCTTGGCTACTAAACAAGGGATATGTGTCATCAGAAAATCGTTTCTCGTACAAATTAATCAAGATAATTACTGAAATTAAAACTGAGTGGAGCAACTATGATGCCTCATCTACTTCCTGCCTACACTAGTTTTTCTATATTAGTCAAACTCTCTTCTCAAGGCATGAGTAAAAATCGAAATGCAATGAGGTTTCCAATTCCAAACTCGAGAATCTTTTCAAATGCATCTTTGAATACATAGCACTTGAAATGAAAGGGAAAAACAATCGCACCCAATTTAACAACAACAGCACCGATTGCTGAGTTACTCGAGACGTTGTGCCAGCTGAAGGCGACGGTGTTTGGCATACAATTTAACTACAACAGCAGCGATCAACGTGCAGTGAACACCTAATCCACTATCTAAAATACAATGGTGTGATGGAAGCTAGTCATGTTCTAGTATTGGACGAATCACACTAAACAAATATTACATGATCGAGCCAATTCCAATCCCACCAAGGGAATAGGTATTAGCAAAAGCCAAACTAGAACACCAGATGACTACAGTCAATCAGACTGATCTAGCATTGGCAACTAATAAAAAACCTAGATCCATGAGTGACAGAGTAAAGAAGAAACCTTGATTTAGCAGGCGGCAACATATAGGAAGAACTTGCATGAAAGATCCAAGCTTTTGATGCTCTGCCAACAGTTCGGATAAGTACTGACTGATGAAAAAAAAAAGAACCCAAGAATCCCACATAGATTAAAAATTGTCCAACGCCAAAAGCAAAAGAAGAAGAACAAGAAGTGAAGAAAACAAGTTAAAGTGAAAATTTTGTGTGTGCTTACTGTCAACATCTGGGGTGGTTCTGATCTGTGGAGAAACAGCTCTGGCAGGAGAAAAGTTGGGATTATAGATACCTGACATAGTTCTTGCCCTTTGAGGATTCAATTTTTTAAAATAAAAATGAAAAGAATGAATTTTTGAGTTTAAAGGAGAAAAAAAGAAAATTTCCCAGATTGAGCTTCTTGTAGAAGGAAGAACTGAAAAACACAACACCATCAATAAGAGAGGTGTGCAACAATATTTATATAATAAAAAATAATTACAAAAAGAAAAAGAAAAATTGTGGACAGCTCTATGTTAGATTAGTAGAAAATGAGTCCAAATTTCTAATAATTCAATTTTTTTCTATGTATTTACAGTATGAATTCTATTGAAACTAAACTTAGCTGAAAAGCCAATAAAAAACTGCAACTTTTTTTACTCATATAGTATTTGGCAGTAAAAGATTTGCTACTTTCTGCTGCCGTCCTTTTCTAGAAGAGAAAATGACAATGGGGAAGGCATTATTAACCAAAAGTAGAAGTGAAAAAAAAATTATTTAAATTAATAAGTTTTATTTTATAATTTAATTTTTTTAATTAAATCATTCAAATATTTATATTATTGTGATTCTATTTTATTTTGATTTAAACAGTTTTTTACAACTATATAAGAGATGTGGGGACCCCACGGAGCAGGAAGAGGCCAACAGGGGAATTATAGTGATTGTTGGCAATGCCGAATGCCAACGCAATCTTAGCTGCCCACTGTTCCTAGGATACCTTAGGCGTTAGCTGCTTCTGTTGTTTCTTTTCTTTCTCTTTAAGTCAATCTCTGTCATTACTCCTTGTACTATCTATATATTATACATTGAGCTATTATATTTTTAATTTAATCGATTTTAATCACTATAAATTTTTTAATTTTAATTTTTTTGTCTTGATTAAATTGGAGAACAAGTCATTAAATCTATAATTTATTCTCAATATATGAATTAATAACATGATTTAACTTAACATACCTAACGTTTTCTATTTGAGTTAGGTTGAAATCTCAAACTTTTAAAAAGTATAAAGATAAAAAATAACCAAATTAAAATATCGTGACTACATCTATAGTTTACTGATGGTATGAAAATTGAAACAAAAACTTAAACAACTGAGGGTGAGCTACACAAATGGTCCCTGATTATACGGTGTATATTTGTTGAGTCCCTTAATTATTAAAAATTATAAAATGATCACTCAATTATTTATATATTACAAACTCGTTATTTTTTTGTTAAAAAATAGTGGTCGTCTGAGATGGACGTTAATTTTTTGACTAAGATATAATTTGATCCCATAATCGTTGAGATGTATTTTTGTAAATCGACTTTCGTTTACATTATGTTATCGTGCCGATGCTTGAAACATTATATCGTCGAGCTATTGTTTGAAAGCAACAATGGTGCTAATAGACATCTTTAAAACTTAATTTTAACATATTTCAGTCAACAATTTAATATTCCGTTCACAGGACCAGTAATATTTTTAATGAAAACAAATGAGTTAGGAATATATGAATAGCTGAGTAACCATTTTGTAACTTTTAATAGTCGGGGCTCAACAAAACATTCTCCTATATATCAGGGAATCATTTGTAACTTTTAATAGCTAGGAGGCTCAACAATATAATATCTTATAATTAGAATACCATTTTATAACTTTTAATTATCAAATGACTCAACAAAATAATACTTTATAGTCGAACATTATTTGTATACTTTAATGAACAAGTAAATAGAGAGTATTACTAATATTTATATTTTTTTAATAATCTATAGTGATTACATAATAATATTTGTTCAAAAGAATTTTAACCATTAACAGAGATAATCATTCGAACCCAAAACATTTAGGATAACATCACTCTCGCTCAATGATTTTTGAGAAATATTTATAATGCTAGATTTGGGTACTAGAGAACATTTGACAATTTCAACATATGAGTATCAATACATGTTTTATGATATCGATACCCATGTAGATTTCAATTTACGAAGCTTCCTAATTTACTTGTCCAAACCATGTTAAATTAATTTCAATAGGGATAAGTCTATAAAACACACTGCAATATACTATTAAATTTACATATCAAAATGTATTATTAACTAAATTGTTTTTATTAAATAAATATTAAAAGGATAAATTATATGTTTAGTATGTATACTATTATTTTTATTTCGTTTAGTACCTAAACTTTCAAATATGTGACATTTTAAATTAATGATCCAAAATTTAGTCAATCAACTATAATGTTAATCTATTTTTATTATATCAAACCTAATACTTACTTGTATCATTATTAAATTAAAGAACAAATTTTCACTTTATTTGGAAATAAAAAATAATTAAATAATTATTTTTATGTATTTATAAATTTTATATTAAATTTTTTTAAATTTTTTTATAATATTATGAAAATATTTTAAAATATTTATTTTTTTAAAATTATTTACTTATTTGAAATAATATTATTTTTAAATTATCTATTTAATTTCAAATAATATTGCACATAACAAAAGTGATAGTTGTATAGTAAACGTATAATTTACCTTACATTTAAATTATTTAAAATTAAATAGATAATTTAAAAATAACATTATTTCAAATAAATAATTAATTTAATTTTTAAAAAATAAATAAATATTTTTTATAATATTATAAATATATTTTTATAATTATTTCATATAATTTTTATAAAAAAAACATGAATTATTTAATTATTTTTTATTTTTAAATAAATTGAAAAGATAACTTATAATTTAATAATGATATAAATATTAAGTTCAGCATAATAAAAAAACATACTATAATTGAGTGACAAAGCTTTCGGTGATTAATTTAAAGTGTC